TCCAGCTGCATGGCATAGTCGCATGTCGACTACACTCAGAAAGAGGGAGAAAACAGTGGACAAATGTTAAACCCCCCTTTCTCTCTTTCCCAAAGGGAGAGGGCAAGAAAAGAGGGAGCCAGAAATGGAAGATGACTCGGTGGATGAATCGTAGATAGAAATGTCGGGTCGTTCAAATTTTCCCAATGCGGTAATTTTTTTATTTTTATTTTTTATTTTTCATTTTCATTTTTTCTGCATGTGGGCTTTTTTCTTCCTCTTGAGTCTTCATTTAAGAGCGGAGCAGCCATCGTCGCTCGTCTCTGGACATCTTCCTGTAGCCACCGTAGTAGTCATCTGTGTTCTCAATGGGAGTGACACAGTGGATGATAGGCTCGCAGTTGAACTGGATTTTCTTAGAAGAAACACCGCTGCTCGGGAAGCTGGAGCTGGAGCTGGAGCTGACGCCGTTCTTCTTGAGGATACTTTTCGAGGAGGTAGGGTTGACATATGCGAAGGTAGCTTGTTGAGGCATGGTAGAGAAGCCACGCTGGTTGAGCTTTGTGTTGCGAGTAGTTGGACTTAGAGGAGATGGGGATAGCGGTGTCCGAGGAGACATGGCCATAGACATGGCAACGGGGGATTTAAGGGATAGAACAGGGCGGGATGTGCTGCTGGTCGAGGCGGCAGCGATGCTCAGAGAGAGCTTGGGTTTAGTGGCGCGTGCAGCGTACATTATGTTTTTGTATATTTGTGGTTGGTTTGCTTGTGGTGTTGAGAGGTAAAAAGTTGATGATCAAAAGTTTTGGGGAAAAGGATATTTAATAGATAGATGGATGGCAGCGGTTGCTTTGAATAGAGGATAGTTAATAATATAATATGCTCCTTTTTCAGCGTCGTCGTCGTTAGGGGGCGAAAAATTAGTCGACGACTCTGGCGCGGCCACGAGACACCTGAGAGCGGATAGATATAAAATTATGTTGTTACTGAAAATAACTAGATAGAGACGATGACGCAATGAAGGAAGCGCATAGACAGAGGATAAAAATAGAATATTATATGATTGGGCCAGCCAACCAGTGCAAATTGGAATAAAAAAATATTAGAGGAAAATAAAAAGGGAAGAGAAAAGAATAAAGGGGAAGAAGGTTCGAAATTCGAAACACAGACTGCAGCAAAGAAAAGTAGGAAATAATAGCAACAACAGCGCAGACAAGGAAGGGGGGCCACAGCGGCTATATAGGCCCCCGGCGGCCCAGTCGCTCAGGCAGGGGGTTGGGGCCAACGGGGCAAACAGACCAAATCGCGGTGGCTGGCCGATGCTGGCAAAGGATGCTTGTATCCTTGGAAGAATCAAGCCAGCAACCAGCCCAACCTTGCCTGCCTCAGCCAATCGCGCGCTCTATGTGCAGCAAACGCTGCTTGAAGCGCCCAACCAATGCAAGACGGCACATCCAGATCACACACATCGCGCATTTTGGTCACTCGTCGGCTCTTGGTCCAGTCTATCAGAGGCCAACCTCACCGATTCTCGTCTGCGCTCCCTTGCGCACGGTTACACAACCTCCTGCATGGCAACAAGCCCTAACAGTGGCCGAACGGTGCGACGGTGGCTGCTGGGGTGAACAAAAGTGATGGGTGACGATGGATTTTTGTCCGATCCAGCCTTCTTATGGAATAGCCTTACTCTGCTCCTCTCTGGAATGACATCAACTTGCGGGGTTTCGCATAAAAAAGATGATGCGCAGAAATCGGCCTGGTAAGAAACCAGCCCCTCGGTGTGCCGTGTGGTTGCTGAAATAAACCAACTACAAACTCGCCCATCTTCTCGTCGTTCCATCTAACTACTCTGTAGATGGCTTCTCTCTCACTTTCTCTCATGCTAAAATATTCCATATTGAGGGCAGTGTGCCAGTAGGATCGGTGATGGGCAAACACGTTCTCAACCCCTGCCGAGTTACAGGACCTCAAGAATCAGAATCACCCATCCCTGCATGATCCGTGTGAAGAACGGGCTTGGGCGCCAATGTGAAGTTTGCATTCAAACATCCCAGCTTCACTTCTTGCAATTGATGTGTCGAATCTTGAGTGTAGAGACTGATGTATTCTCTACTACTCCGTACTGTGTCAAAAGTCTCAGCATGAATATATCCCATCTTTGCCATCTGCTCTGTCGGGTCTACGCTGTGCGTACCTATCAGGAAACAATTTTAACCCCTCCTTACAACATCCCTTGAGATCTCGCGGTAAGCTTCAAGCTAGTTGTGACAACCTGAGTTCAAGCAGCCAGCAACAAACCAACCAGCGCTGAAATCACACGCTACAGGAGGACAGTTCGGAATTCTGATCTCTCCCACCACCGCTTGGGCGTTTCCTATATAAGTCTTCAACGTCATTCGTCCTTAGATAAGATGGAGTTTTAAGTTTCCGCTCCCCCGCATTAACATTACGATGATACCACACTTGCGTTGGTCAAATCATCTCATACGACTGTCATATCATCACGATAAGAGCAGACTTGCCCACCTCAACGAGGAGCGGGATCCCGAACATACATATGTTTCCAGGGGGTCGATCACTGCATATCCAGGCCCTTGAGCTAAAAGGCATGATGGAAAAGGAGGGGGAAACACCTCACCTTGTTGGGTGTGTTGCTATAATTAGATACTGGTACAGTGCTGTGGATAGTGATAACGGGATCAATGATCTCATGGTAAAAATTTTCCTTAATGCGCACTAATTGTGATCATTGCAGCAGCCGTACATGATCAACTTCACTGCGGAGCACCGCATTTTTGTGATGGTTGGTTGGGCCGTCGACAATTGAAGTTTTTCGTTTGTCTCTACTCCATAGCATATGAATAGATATAGCAATTGCAGTGTCAAGTTCTCATCTGAAGATGTTCTAATTTGTATTAGGCAGAGGTAGAGGGAGGGAGGGAAACGTTATGGAATAGGGCTCGCGGCAAACCGGTTCTTACGTTCATCATTCATTCTCCCCAATTTGAAACTATTTCTTACGAACGCAACAAAACTAGAATTTCTTATTGAAAGTCAGAGACAAAGTTATCCCAGAGTAGAGGTTTCCTTTCATCTCTTCTCATCTTTTTACTCTATATAGTAACTTACACTCACTGATCACAAAGATAACATACTTCTTATTTGCACCAAGAAACAAAAAAACATGAAACCGAAATCTGGCTCTGGCACCTGTGGCCGTATCCAAACTCACGGATCCTTCCGCCTACGGAAGCGAGGGGGCGGATACAAAATAGCAGGCTTCCTCGGCTGTCAACGCAAAAGGTGTCGCCGTGTCAAAATAATAAACGAATATATCAATGTTCGGGGCCTCTTCGTTCTGATCATGTGTTATTTTTTTAATTTTTTTAATTTTTAATTTTTAATTTTTAATTTTTTTTTTTAAGCACTAACTAGGCTGATCGGTCCGACACCTTCATTTTTTTATAACAAAATGATCTGGAATAGTTCCAAGAGCTCGAGATCCGCGGGTTGAACAAGATATGGAACATGAGGATATTTCGATAATCCTGTAACTGTTCAAACACACGAACCAGCATGTTGGTGGTCAGCGCTCCCGGTTTCGGGGGCTTTCATCTTCTTGGACGTCAGAGTAGGCTTGTCATTTACGTCCTTGCTAGGCTCATCCTAAAAGAGTGGTTCTGCGGAGCACTTCAACTTCCCTAGATATTATAGAAGTCGGCGGATTTCTGTATATATTTTCAATACGATATCCATGCCAAAACCCAGTCAAAAGGAAACCCGGTTCAGCACTCACCTGTAGGCTGTTCGAAAGCCGGAACGATAATAAGTGCGCGGACTCCTTTAACCTTTCCCTTTTCTTTTCCCTTTCTTTTTATTTCTTTTTTCTCTTTCCCTCCGTCTGATTCTCACAAGAGAAATATGGATATCCGGGCCCACTGGCAGTTTTCTTGGTGTGGGATAGCAGAATTGGCCGATGCGGGGAGAGCGGGTCGCGAAAGAGTAGCGGCAGAGGTCATCCCGATAACGGCTCAACATAGCTAGCTATCCCATGCCTGCCAGCATCAGAGGGAATTTTATGACTCAGGACTGTGTGCTGTAGAGCCTGTACACAGAGTGTGATGGTTCCTAGCGTCGAGGAAAAGCCCAGGGTGATTGTATCCCTCAGATCTTCAGTTAAGCTTTCGTGCCTATCTAACGACCAAGCCGAGGTCTTTCTCAAACCAGTGAGTGTACCGTGCCTGGACGGAGCTCTCCGTACAAGAAATCAACGTCTCAGCGCAGATGAGTTAAAGAGGTGAATAATAATACATAAGCCCATGTAAAATCGACCGAGTAATAATCCAGTTAATCCCTCGTAGGCATGATAGACCTGAAGGGCAAAAATGCCTTGAGCATTTTATTAATAGGCTGGCGCTCGCCACACTGCTGATGGTCTGTCATGCCTAAGCTAGATCGGCTGAGTCATCCGACAAACTCCCGCGCGCTGCGGCAAACCATTGGCTACGGAAGGTCAGGATCTAGGAAAAATTTTTTGCCGCATTGATTCATCAACATCCATCCCTCACCGGTCATTTATACATCTCCTATCGCTCTCCTGTGTAATTTTTTTACACACACCACTGCACTGTGCACTCGCACACACATTCACTTTGTGCATATTATTATTATTCTTATGAATATTTGCCGGTGACCTTTCATCTTTCATCTTTCTTTTTTTCCTTCTTTTCGTTTTTAATTTGGTTGCGTATCGACCTTTTTCCACACCCCCCGTTCACTCACCACTAGCAACCTGGCTAGTTTCGTTATTGCCAAACCCTCTTTTAGCTGCATTCCTCGGAATCGCGGCTCTTGACCTTGTCGAAAATTCCAGGCCTTTGCTTTTTGCCCCTTCTCCCTCTTTTCTAAGCCCGAAGTCAGCAACTTTTACTTGGGGATAGCTTTGCGAAGCCGTGCGTGAGTGTGTGTGTGAAATCACCGGGTTCTAGTTAACCTCCACCCACCTCACCAATCTTTCAATCATGGCTGCGGTTAAGGAGAGTATGAGTATAAAAGGATCCATCATGGGATCAATTCTGCCCGATCCTGACCTCCCGGTTACTTCTCGGATCAGAGCGCATTTCTATCAACATGCCAGGACTGATAACGAAACGGGAGAGCGGTATATGAACAAGGAGGATTTCATCAATGCCATTGCTCCCGTACATGAAAACTATGTAAGTTCAGCTCTACCTTCCAGACCCATCAAAAGGAACAGGGGATTGACCATTTGCTGATGCCTCCATTTTTCTTCCATCTGTAGCACAAAATCAAACGCGAACAATACGGTATCCTATTCCGAGTTGCCGATCGACGGAAGACTGGTAAAGTAAATCTACACGATTGGACCGCGTTCGAGAATCTAATTGCCAAACCCGATGCGGAATATGAGATTGCGTTCCGTTTGTTTGATGTGGAAGGGACCGGAGCGATTAAATATGAGACGTTTCAAAAACTATATACCCAGAATACGGGGAAGGATAGTATTCCCTTTGACTGGAATTCAGAATGGGTATCGTTGTATACAGGAACGAAGAAGAGACGACATGACATGACCTACCCGCAATTCGCACAAATGCTTCGTGGCCTCCAGGGCGAGAGAATACGTCAGGCGTTCCACCTTCTCGATAAGGATGGGGATGGCTACATCGAGCCGGAGGATTTCCAGCGTATCATCTTGAACACCGCTAGGCACAAGCTGTCAGATCATCTTCTAGAAAACCTACCCTCCCTATGCACCATCAGCGCCGGAAGTAAGATTTCGTACGCCAACGTCCGCGCCTTTCAGAATATAATACGAGAGATGGACATGATCGACTATATCGTCCGCAGCGCCGTAAACAAGAGTCACGATGGCACAATCACCCGCACAGATTTCCTAAACGAAGCCTCTCGCGTCGCGCGCTCGTCCCTCTTCACCCCCATGGAAGCCGATATCCTCTTTCACTTTGCCGGTCTCGATGCGCCTTCAGGAAAACTCTCGCTAAACGACTTTGCAAAAGTTATAGACGCTTCATGGCATTCCGCAGCTTCTGCGGTCGGTAACGCTGCAATGGAAAGCGTCACTCAAACCACGGAAAAGGCAACTACAAAATCGAAACAGGTCCTCCAGAACATCTTGGAGTCGGTGCATCATTTCGGTCTGGGCAGTATCGCAGGTGCCTTTGGCGCCTTTATGGTGTACCCTATTGATCTTGTCAAGACGAGAATGCAGAATCAGAGGAGCGCGCGTGTGGGGGAGAGGTTGTATAGCAATTCAATCGATTGTGCGAGGAAGGTTATTCGGAATGAAGGTGTTCTTGGCTTGTATTCGGGCGTCATACCGCAATTGATTGGTGTTGCCCCTGAAAAGGCCATTAAGCTCACCGTAAATGACCTGGTTCGTCGGACTTTTGCGGATAAGCAGACGGGGAAGATTGGGTTGGGGTGGGAACTTTTTGCAGGTGGTATGGCTGGTGGATGTCAAGTGGTATGTTTATTGTTTGTTCACTCAGCTTCTTTTTGCTTCTTCTTTTTCCTAATTGATACTAATTTCACACACAGGTTTTCACAAACCCCCTAGAGATCGTGAAGATCCGTCTGCAAGTTCAAGGAGAGATCGCCAAGAGCGTCGAGGGTGCGCCACGTCGATCGGCCATGTGGATCATCAAGAACTTGGGGTTGATGGGATTGTACAAGGGAGCTAGCGCCTGCTTGCTTCGCGATGGTGAGTAAAATATCTTCAAACTAATTCTTTGTCAATGCAGCTATCTAACTTATATGACCCCACCCAGTCCCATTTTCGGCCATCTACTTCCCCACCTACGCACACTTGAAATCCGACTTCTTCGGCGAATCGCCCACCAAGAAACTAACCATTATCCAACTCTTAACCGCCGGTGCCATCGCCGGCATGCCGGCCGCCTACCTCACAACACCATGCGACGTCATCAAGACAAGGTTGCAAGTCGAAGCCCGCAAGGGCGAGACGAGATATACATCCGTCCGCCACTGCGCGACGACGATAATGAGAGAAGAAGGGTTCCGCGCGTTCTTCAAGGGCGGCCCGGCACGTATCTTGCGCTCATCGCCACAGTTCGGCTTCACGCTTGCTGCCTACGAGGTTCTGCAGAATTGGCTGCCGCTGCCCGGCAGCCAGCCTGAAGACGTTACGCCGATCGGCCATATCGAGCCCGGGTTGGGCCAGCGGGCGACGGGGCCTCTGCCGTATATCCGGTCGCGGAATGCGTTGAAGCTCATTCTTGATTTGAATGAGGACTTTGGCCGGATTAAGATGCCCAGGAGTGCGAGTTTGCCTGCTGGTGCTGCGTGAAAAATGATGCAGCAGGTGTAAAATTCTCCGTCTGCGGTTCATATCTGTGTTTGAATATCTAGACCCGTCCATTTTTTGCCCCTTGGGTGGCAAGCGTACTTTGTGTGTGTACTTTTATCTCCGCCTCCCTGATTTGGTTCGATTGCCGTGTCACATACTTTGGTCATATATCGATCATAGCATGATGACCGGAATCTATTACCAACCGGTGATCCCGTCCTCCTCTCGCCACCACGCCCTATCAACCTCATCTCGCCCTCCGCTTGCTTGCTTGTTAAAAATTCCCTTTCCATCTTAACGCCATAGATTTTTGTTGTTATTTTCATTATTTTTATTGTTTTCCATTTTAAATTTCCTAATCGAGCTCGCTTTTCTAACCCCCTCCCCTCCGCCGGTATGTGACGCTACTTACAGAAAATCCTATTTAGTTCCTATTCCTACTCTCTCCTCGACATTTCCTCAGTCCGGCTTGTCTACCATCCATCATCCTCCCAGCGAAAACGCATACACACCATTTAACGAAAGATTGCTTGCTTACATTTATTCTAGGCGATCTTTTATCTCCCGCGAAAGATTCCTTTTTCCTTTTCTTTTTAATTTTTGATTTAATATTATCTTATACCTCGCATCTACCTCTTTTGGTTTTCTTTTTCTTTTTCTTTTTTTCTTTTTTTCTTTCTTTTTCTTTTTTGATTTCTTCCATATTTTCATTTCTTCTTTCAAGTTCACCTCGCGCCCCCTTGTTCTTGTGACCTTATTTTCCACATCTGGATTTTCGCAAGAAAAGAAAGAACAAGCCAAAATACCCCCCCAAAAGTGTCGATAGAATCATAGAGAGAGTGTGTGAGGGAGAGAAATGGACAACCTCTGAACCGGTTAACCACTAACCGTACCACCAAACGTCATTCTCTCCCTCTCAAAGTCCTATTATTTCTATGTATATGTATCTAGAAATAATAGACTAGATTAGATCCTTTGAATAATTAGAGAATATTTCTGTGTTTTATTTATTTTAGTACTCACTAGGTAAGTCAACTTGTAGTTTGTCGGCTTGCGGTCCTCCCCGTGTCCGATGTATCTGCTGGAGATCAAAAATTTCCAAACTTTACCCACCTGTGACAGGATGCTCAATGCTCAGTTTCAGCTCTGGCTTGACATTAGTCCATTTATTTTATTGCTTCTTCTTAATGCCATTGCATATTCGCAGAATCGCGTTGAATATAATTACTCACCCTATTTCTGTCAAGTACCCTAGCGGGAGGTGACACATAATATAGATAGCCCCCTGCTTGGTTACCCTACGATGGGTGCACGCTAACGTTTATGCAGTGAGTGTTCAAGATGATGGGATGCATGACATCACTCTCGCATTGTCGCCGAAAATTTCGTCCATTAGAGGAATACTCCCATGATGAAGTACCACCACTAACAATCCTTACCGCGTTGTTTTACTTCGAGATTCGATAATGGTTAAAGGCCTCCTACCTACTGTACCATATCAAGCCCAACATAAACTCATTTCACATCACATCCCCTACCTTATCCTAGCCAACCGGCAAACTACGTTACAACAAAAACAAATGGCGCCTGAATCGACTAACCCCTGCCATGCGCTGGTTCTTGGCGCCTCGGGAATTTCAGGATGGGCATTTATCAACCAGCTCCTTCATGATTATCCGCGGCCGGGTATTTGGGACCGGGTGACGGGGGTTACAATGCGACCCTTGAATGAGGAGGAAGTGTCATATTGGCCAGAGGATAAACGACTACAGCTAGTTTCGGGCGTTAATTTCGTCGGGGACTCGGAGGAAGTATTGAAGGGGAAGCTGGGTTCGCGGCTTGTGGGTGTGGAGAGTTTTACGCATGTTTTTTACTTAGGTACGGATATATGACGGTGGAATATGGATGCCTGAAGATATATATGTAAAGTTTCGGGCATATATTCTTCCTTAAAAAAGATTTGAAGAAATATGATACTTAGAGAGGAACGAGTAATTAGCGATGAGTTTGTTTACACGCTTTATACCTAATGCCAAAACAATAGTGAGCGTGCCCGATTCCAAGGCATTAGACAGCCTCCGCAAAGCCGTGACCGTGATCGACGATCTCGCACCAAAGCTTGAATTCATCCACCTCCAGTATGGAACTTTCATATATGGGACTTGTTTCGCCGAGGACTTCTATATGCCAGTGCCACTCTCAGAGGGGTTGCCTCCCCTCCGCAAACCGTGGGCTGATCGCCTCCCATATCTCAACCTTTCGAGATGGATGGATGAGTTCTCACGCGGGAAACCGTGGAAGTGGTGCGAGACAAGGCCAGACGACATTATTGGTTAGGCATAATTTTTTTTCTTCTCTTTCATATTAATGCCGCTTTATGGCACAAAGATCACTAAGCACCTATGTACCCCAAGCCAGGATTCCTCCCTCGCCCTAATGGATATAATGTTGCATATCCCATCGCCATGTTTCTTTCGCTGTACGCCTACATCAACGGCAAGGGCGCCCAATGCCCGTTTCCCGGTAGTTTCGGCGTCTGGAAAGCGCTCTCCAACGACGCGGGTGCAGATATGATCGCTAAATCTGCAATCCACCTTTCACTATCCTCTAATCTGTTGGCCAACGGAGAGGGATTCAACGTTGCTTCCTCATCGACCCCATGGAGCTGGGAGATGAAATGGCCGGTTATATGCACTTGGTTTGGACTTGAAGGCATACCGCCCGTTGATCGCGAGAGGAGTGAGACAGAGACACCCGGGCCTGACGAGTATATCCGTAATCATGAAGAAGAGTACAAAAGGATGGTAAAGGAATATGGGTTGAAAGGATGGAAAGTAGCGTCTCCGTCCATGGATGGCTCGGAAAATTGGGGGTTGACTAAGCTAAATTTTGACCGTCAAGTTGATTTGCGGAAGACAATAGCAACTGGCTACACGGACGAGGAGAGCAACGCGGAAACCTGGATTAGGGCACTTGAGCGGATGAGATCCGCAAAAGTTATCCCATAGATAGTCAAGAACATGTGTTCTAAACAGGAGTGAGATATCTCTTTGTGTTCGAAAACGTTGGGGAAGCAGGGATATATTTAAAATTTGTAGTAAGTCCGATGTCAAATTGTTATGGCTTAGATGGCAACATGGGATAGATTGTTTAGAAGAAACTGGACGGCCGTTGGGGTTTGCTTGTTTCCGTAGTAGGTCCCTCATTAGAAGTGACTCGTTGATATTTTGTCGTTATCTCCGGTTCACTCTGCTGCGGAGTAGTCGACTGTTGCGAATCATTTCCACCGTCACTATCGGACTTTGGCACGTTCCCGCGATGTGTCCGCTTAGCCCTGGAATGCCATAGGGATTCTTCCTGCTCAATTTCTTTCAAGACTAGATGTTCCAATCAATTAGTATTTGTTTCCATCCACCTATTAAAAGAGTTATAATCACCTTCTTCCCACTCTCTTTCTTTTGCCTCGTCCCCCGTACCCAATAGCCTTTTGACATCCACATCTTCCCCTTTCTGAATCCGTTCGATAACCTCTTTTAGCAGCCGGGTTTTCGCATCTGCGCTCCGGGTATCGTTCGCGTACTCATTTCGAAGCATAATCATCCGGATAGCCTGGGAGCCGATAAGAGTGAACATGATGGCATAAAATGTAGCTGGATTAGGCGCTCTGGACTTTCGGGGTGCGGAATCTGTCCCACGCCGATTCCCGCTCCGAAGGAATTTGGGAACCATAGACGTCCACATCGAAGGTTCTAAGATTTTGGGGATTGCCCGCCCCGCTGCAAGACATCGGCGCTGGGAATGAGGCTCGGTTGGAGGTAGTTTTGACTGTGGCAGGCGGGACCGGGAGAGGATGGGATTGGATGGGATTGAGAGGTGGCAATGCCTCAAAATCACGGGTCGAGAAGACATGATTAACTATAATATTCCTCCGGTATGCAAAAATGAATATTGCCTACTCAATGTTGGACTGGACTGCAACGCGATACTAAAAAATGTTACAGGTTGGAGACCAGAGAGAGAAAAGAATTGGCGCTAAACCCTGAGGGGAATTTCTGGAGCAGGGACGATTATGTAATCAATATGGTTGCCTCGGCAACCAGCAGCTAGTGACCATCCCGAAACAGCTCGGACGTCGCTACGATAGAGCCTGGAATATGGTCGGCTTCATTGACAGTTACGACATTATCGACTTTAGATGACAGAAATGGAGGAAACGGCGCGTTCCATACGCGCTCTGGAGGCGTCCGTGAAACAAGCTGTCAAGTCGACCTCTACCTGCACTAGCGACACCACCTCGCTGCTCAAAAAGCTCCTCTCCCCAAACTCCGCTCCAAGCACCCATTACCACGATGAACAACCCAAGAATGTCAAGTCAACCAGGCGGCCAAAAGGCTCAACAGTGCGCAAGGTTTCCAAGCCATATCAGTTAAAAACTGCTGCAAAATATGCTCCATCCCAAACATTCGATGGAACAGACAGTGGATTGCTCTCGCAGAGAGAGAAGCTTGTATTAGCCACGGATGTGTTTAATTCCGCGTCAAAGGCACTCTCCGATTATATGAAACTCTCCTCAAACAAGCAAGCCTCTAGGGAGTCTGTGAAAAGTAGACTTGACACTCCGCAAAAGATGCTGGCTCCTAGACGGCCCCTGCAATCGGTCTCGCCGAATTCGACCGCATGCTCGCCCGTAAAGACGAAAGGCATGGACATGAGTAGTCCGAAAAAGAATATACAAAGTTGCGGGGTTGTGGAAGTTGCAGACTGTGCCAGATTAGCGTTGTCATGTCTTCGAGACCTGAAGTCTCCTCCCGTAGCGGAGACGCAGCAATTCAATAGCCAGCTAGAGCAAGGGTTTTGTGTTCTGATCGGGAAGCTGCTTGCTGTTGGTTTGAACGAACCTGCAATAAACGAACTGAGAAAGCTGAAGAGGAGATTAAAGGGATATATACTAAACGAAACACCAGAACGGAACTTCGAGCGCCTGAAGAAGCCCGCCAATGCCCGCCAGCGGGACGAACCATCAAAGGAAACTCTAGCAGACCTCATCCAAATCGATAAGGTCCCTGCTGATGACCAACTCTTAAACCTAGTCATCTCTTTTCAGGCCCATGCTCTAAAGGCCATTACAACCGAAAAAAAAGTTCTCATCGTGAATAAGCTCTCAGACCTGCTTTTGTTGTCAAACCCAACAAGCCCGGCTAGCATAATTCTTATAGCGCGGAACAAAGGTGTTCTAGCTGACAACAAGGCGGCTCAACTGTTACAGTTGCTTTCGTACACTATTCTTTCCCTTGCTTCCCCGTCGCCAAATGCTGAAGATGGAAAAAGTTCCTCAGCAAAATCTCACCCCAAATATATCGTTACCTTGAATCTCCAATTACTAGCATTGGAAATACGGTGTATATGGTGGAAGATCTGTGGACACAAGTGCAATATGGAGAAAGAATTCTGGCACCCGTTAGCTCGTTATCTCACGACATTCGCCAGACGATGCACGGTCATAACTAAGGGCGATTTTGAGTCAGTGAAGCAGGCTTTCCGGCGCCTAGAGTCAACGGTAATGGCACAAGGATTTACTTTTTTGCCTTCTACCGACCAGGTTGGTTCTGTATCAATGGTTATGAAGGTACTCGGCCAATTAGCACAGAGTGCTGACTGCAAACTCGATGCGCTGAAATTTTTCGATGACTGTATTTCGTGTCTGTCTCCTGACCAACCACTCCTCCTTGGTATTTGCCATTGCAAAATCTCTCTTTTACGGTTGGAGACACTGCGAATTCCAAAGATTGGCCGCGCATCTAAAACTGCCTCAGCGGTATCGGAAGCGTTGAAATGTTTAGCAGCTCCGCTGAGGGGAAATCAATCCGATCTCGAGGAGTTAGTGATAGAATCAGCTAAACTCAAGAAAGCAGCGATGGCTTTTCTGAATACACTGGGCGACGCGGTCCTAGACGAAAATGAAGGACCCTCGGAGTACGGGCCTCTAGCGCTTTACATTATTGACTATCTCAACAACTTTGTGAGGTTCTTGACTCGCTACCTTGGACAAGCAGCTCCAACCAACGTCAATTCCGATGACAATCTTAATGGTCTGTTTCATCAACGGCTTCTAAAATGCAAAAATATTGTACTTGCAGCCGTCGATTCTGTTGTTGCCGTTGGAAAAATATCAGTTGTTGCCAAGCGACCGGCATGGGCAGATATCCAGCCTCTTCTCTCTGATTGTTTCACTCTGCTGAAACATTTAAGTTCTGTGGAGAGTATCGAGAACGAAACAAAATCGACTGGTTCAATATCAGCTAGTTTCGTTAAGCTATCAAACCTGTACTGGTCCCGCTATGTCAAACAAAAGGAACTTGGGGTATCGTCATCTGATCTCATCCCACTACTGGAGCGCTCAACGAGCCTTCTGCGGACATGTCCACCGGAAAACACAGCTGGATTCGTGGCTATAAAATACGAACGCCTAGCGACCCTATACTCGGATGTTTCCCAATTTCAAAAGTCTCAAGGGGCCTACCGGTTTGCTATCCAGGCTCATATAGATGGTGGCATTTTAAAATGTGCAACTCAGAATGCTGCGACTCAACCGCCATCTTACATCATTAAAGACCCTTCATTTCCCTTAGGCCGCGTTTTGGCCAGCTACGCTCGATTTTACTGGAAACACGGCTATGATCCTAGCGAAGTAGTTTTTGACGACGAGAATCTCGAGCCCGAAGAGAGAGGAATCTTACTTGAATGTCAAGCTATGGCTTTGTTAGAGACATCTTCCAGCGGGGAACTAGATTCGAAGATATCGCTGTTATCCTTCCTAGTTTCAGCTTTACTTGAACAATATCCACAAAAAATCTATCCAATACGGAGATTACGAGTAATCCTTCACGCTATCCGCCTCTGTCTACATGTTCCTAATCACTTGGGTTCCGAACTTCTTGAGAAAATCTTAGTAGAGGCAAACTTATTTTTATCTCGTGAACTCGACATGGGGAAAGATTCCGGCCTTGTCCAGTTTAAAGAATCCATGCTGGCCTCTCTCCGCCTAACCCTGGGATTCTTGAAGGGACCCTTGCCTACCGAAAGCCTACGGGAAATAATTTACTCCTTTTCCGCAATTGCACGAAGTTGCCCGACATGGGAGTCCGTGCTTGCAAAAGTCCATGACCCGGAAGCTTTGATCGCACAATTAAAGGTGCTGATCAACTATGCGGAAGTGCTTGGATCGTGGAAACTTAGGATATTGGCCCTATCGACACTTCGACATCTTCTAGAGATCCAGGAACCAAAGGATTTTTCAGAGATAGTATCTTGCTTATCCCACCTTGGCCTTCAGTATAGTCGCCTTGGATATCTTGACATGGCAGGGTCTATGTTTGGGCGCGGAGAGGACCTACTCCGAAACAATGTCTCGCCTATGGTGTTAGTTTCTTGGAATATTAGTCTCGCGGAATATCTGACCGATATAGGAAGCATTGATCAGGCGTGAGTTTACCTGGCCCTCCATCTCCCCTGCGTTTGTCCTACCATCATTTGCTTTGCCCACTGGACTGACATAACTAGAATTGAGACTTTATCCTGTGCTAAGGTGATATTTGAACAAAACACCGGCCATGCGTTGAATTCGAGCTTCCAGTCTAGGCTGACTTGGGAAAGACTAGTAGCTGAAGCTGCTTATGTTTCTTCTCGAATATATTTCGAACTTGGATCTCTCAACCATGCTATGTTTTTTTCCAAATGTGTTGTTAAACTAAACAATAGAATATGGGCAAAATTAGACAGAGTGTCAGATATGAAGCGATGCAAAGCTTTTGAAATTTCCGACTCGGACATCGATGTCCTCTCCAATAAGGTCAAAGCGATCAGTTTATCATCAGAGAACGACTGCGTACGGGATGGCTATCGAGAAGGCTCTTTGTATTGGCCGCTTTTCACCTCGCATTATATTGGCCTTGTCAACCTCTCCAAGCTTTCCGCGCACAATGGTCTTTTCCAGGACTGTGTATATTTCGGGGAGCAAGCACTAAAAATCTGTAAGGCCATCGGTGCAACGTCCTCGGCTTCGTCGATCCAGGCGGAACTGGGGAATGCCTGGCTCCGCGGCGGTCACATTGAGAAAGGCCAGGAGCTGCTGGAGATCGTCTCGAGAATATCCAATTCGCTCGATCGGAGTCTAGATATTGTGTCGCTTCATATGACTTTTTCCCTTCTTTATCGACTCCAAGGAAACCCGGAGGAGAGGACTAAATCGCTTCAGCTCGCTCATCGAACTCTCCTAGACATTTCGGCACATCCTCTGGTTGAACCAACAGATACTCTAATCTCGGAGCCTGATCTTGAAGTAAAACTGAGCCAGTTGACCATCAAAGCCAAAGCGCAGAGTAGAAAGGGCCCCACCCTTCGTCAAACAAGGGCGAGACGAGCGAAAACGGCCGGCAACACGCCTCCTCTCCCCAAAGTTCCAACTAGTTCGACCACCGGAACCTCACTTTCACCACGATCGTTTTTACGGTTCCAAGTTGACCTGCTACATCAGCAGGTAGTGGATTTATTATCGACCCAGGATTTTCCAGAAGCCTCCACTCTTCTTGACCAAGCAGAGCAGCTTCCGAAATGCAAAACTCGCGAGACATCTTACCTGATAACCAAGGCGCAGCACCTCCTCTCCAATTGGATTCAACGGCTCAGTTCCCATTCTGTTTACTGTGTTCTACCAGAGTCTACAATTTCCCTGCCATCAATATATCTAGCAGAGAAGGTCAAGGAAGACAAGCCATCTTCCACAGGTTCTCGCAGCACAAAAAGGCAGGCTCAGGCAACCAGAACAAGAGCTGCGACTTCGACTACGAAAAGCCATTCTCGGGCTTGCCCGAAAGACTTTGCTGACATGGCATCTATAGCAAGTAGCTTACTGCCTGCTATGTCTTCTTCCGCGCCTATTTACGGTTCAACCCGCGATAACCACAACGTTTCATCCATTTCAGGCCAAATATGTATGGTATCAAATGCGACATGCTCCAAACTGGAAGGATTTTCCGACCCGTTACAGGCAGCAGTTACCATAGGTACGTATCAGGATCTGCAAATTAATGTCCCGTATCTAAGCTAATAATGATGAGTAGAAAACGGACGAAACTTGGCCTTCCTAAGAGAGAATTCTTGCATCACAATTGACAAAGAGTTGTGTGGCCCAGTTGAACCTTTGAAATGGCCAGATGTACCCAGCAATTTCGCGAAATCGAATGAACTCAAATGCACCGATTTTATGCTAGATTATGTCGATATTTTACCAGATACCTGGAATGTCCTTTCTTTAACCGTAAGCGACGATCATAACGAGTTCATCATATCCAAGTTACGGTCTGGAAAACCACCATTTTTACTACGTCTTCCATTGAAGAGAGGAAACTCGGAGGACATGGACGAGGATGAATTCGACTTTGGAGAGGGGAAAAGGGAGCTACTGGAAATCATTCGGCTGGCCAACGAGAGTGCGCACGACGCCCGAGCTCGTGTCGGTAAGATTGCAAAGAAGGAATGGTGGGCTACTCGCCAATCGCTAGATAATCGCCTTAAAGACCTCCTTGGTAATATTGAAACTGTTTGGTTTGGCGGTTTTCGTGGCATATTCTCACAGTGTCCACGGAATACGCCTCTTCTCTCGCAGTTCATCGAAAATTTTGGCAAAATCCTCGACAAGCATCTTCCGTCAAGAAGACAACGCGGAAGAGGCCGAGCGTCTAAACCAAATTTCCATTGGGATGTTATGGAATTGTTCGTCAACATTGGGAGTATTGACGAGAGGTCAAACCCGGAAGACCTAGTTATGGACCTTTTGTATTTTGTTGTCGACATACTCCAGTTCCAGGGGGAAAGAAATGCATATGACGAAATCGATTTCGATATGATGGTCATTGACACACTCGATGCGATACGCAGATACAAGGAGCTTGAGAAAAGGGAGCTGGTATCCACTCAACCAGGCCATACAATACTCATCCTTGACAAAGAGCTTCACTCGTTCCCATGGGAATCTCTCGACTGTTTACGTGAGTCCTCTGTCTCTCGGATGCCGTCTTTGCATCACTTGAAAGAGACACTGTTAAAACTCCAAGCCAACAATGATCTTGGAGAACGATTCGATGGATTCCACATTGATCGAAAACTTGGCTCATATATTCTCAACCCCGGAGGGGACCTTAAATCGACACAAATTATGTTTGAACATTCGTTGTTAAGCTTGGACGGATGGAGCGGTATCGCCAACCGAGAACCAACTGAAGATGAATTCAAGCAATACCTAGAAAGCAAAGATCTACTACTCTACTTTGGTCATGGGAGCGGGGCCCAATATATTCGGGGAAGGACCATTAAGCGCCTAAATCGCTGTGCCGTAACCTTCCTAATGGGATGCAGCAGTGGTTCACTGACCGAAGCAGGCGAATTCGAGCCATATGGGACACCGATCAATTACATGCATGCGGGAACACCCGCTCTTGTAGCCACGCTTTGGGATGTGACCGATAAGGACATTGACCGCTTTGCACATTCCACATTCGAGCAATGGGGTCTTATGGACGAGGCACCAGTTGAGAGCAACCAATCAGGCAGAACTAAAGGGCCAACAACTACGAAACCCCATCTACCCAGTCCAATAAAACAGCACCAAGGGGGTGGCGCGGTAGGGCTTGATACTGCAGTTGCTAAGTCCCGAAGTGCTTGCATTCTGAAATACTTAAATGGAGCAGCGCCAGTGGTGTACGGTGTTCCGGTGTTTTTGAAGTAAAGGAGTTTGATTTGGTTTTTCTTGTTGTTCATGGAGTTATCGCATTTTCGTTCTCTTCTTTTTTTCTTATTTTCAACTTAACCTTTATTGCCTATATATTTACTGCAAACTTATTGATAGACCGGGTGCGGCTTGGGTAGGGCACTGGAGCATAGCGAGTGTTTTTGTTTTATTGGATTTAAGATAGATTATTCTTTTTCGTACAAGTTATTGTTAAATTTGGGTCCTTCTTCTTATATTTCTATTCCTGTGTAGCTCTTGTGAACAGTTACTCCATTTTTTTTGTTGCTACCGGCGATTTTTCCTTTTTCCTTTTTCGTTTCTTTTTTAGTTTTGTACTCCGTAGTATGAAATCAAAATATTGTTCCCCTCCTCCCCGCATGACGTCATCCCTCTCCGCAAATACATGGCCAACAAACTCACCAAATTGAATCTCAATTCAACTTCTCAACTACAATTTGGACAACCATCAACCATTGACAATTCCCTACACAACTGTCATAGCCAAACCAAAACCCAACATGTCCGTCGTAACTAAAGCAAACATCGCTTCCTTCGGCGGGAAGCTCCTCAAACTTACTCACAATGCTGCCACTACCAACTGCGAGATGGCGTTCAACCTCTACCTGCCTCCACAAGCTATCCAGAACCCAAAACAGAAAGTTCCCGTCCTGATATACCTTTCCGGCCTCACCTGCACGGCAGACAACTGCTCCGAGAAGGGCTTTTTCCAGCATGGCGCCAGCAAGAAAGGGATTGCGATTCTGTATCCCGATACCAGTCCTCGTACGTTTGATATATGCTCAAGCCCTTCTATATGCTCGTGCTACCTTTTTCCGTTTTGTTTTCTTATTTGATGCAGTGCGATCTAATCGACAATATGATAAGCTGGCTAATCTATCGAATCGATTTATGAAAAAACCACAGGAGGCCTAAACATCGAGGGCGAGAATGACTCCTGGGACTTTGGCACCGGGGCCGGCTTTTACGTTAATGCCACGAAAGTTCCTTATGATAAAGGATATAACATGTACAGTTACGTCACAGAAGAACTGCCAAGGACAGTATTTTCTGCATTTGAGCAATTGGATTCGTCCCGGGTCAGCATTATGGGCCACAGCATGGGCGGACACGGCGCGTTGACTTTGGTAGGTGGCCATTTTTCAATACAAGAAGTCCAGTGCCCCGACAAACCCTCTCCCCTCCCTTATTTACCCAAGCCGCTGATTACATATGAGACATCTCGAAATCTAAAGGGAGACGTAACGGCTAATTTATGTTTTTTCAACGCTTACCTAGTTCTTGAAAAACCCTGGAAAATACAAGTCTGTTTCCGCCTTTGCGCCCATTGCCAACCCCATCAACTGCCCCTGGGGCCAAAAGGCGTTCAAGGGATACCTTGGCGACGACATTCAGAAATGGAAAGAATTTGACGCCACGGAGCTTGTTAAGAAGTGGAAAGGTCCTCTTAATGCACTTATTGATGTGGTATGTGGTGCCGTAGCATCATCTGCGTTTTCCACTACTTCACCCACCCCCCTCTTCCCCCTCTCTCCTTTCCGTATAATTTTAAGCCCTTTGGGGCTTCAGTGCTTTTTTACTGATTGGCCTGTTCTTGTTCACGTGCAGGGAACCGGCGACAACTTTTATAAACAGGGCCAGCTCCTACCCGAAAACTTTGCCCAGGCGGCCAAGGAAGCGGGTGTGGAGGGCGTAAATATCCGATACCAGGAGGATTATGACCACAGCTACTATACCATGGCGACGTTTTCGGATGACCATATTGAGCATGCAGCTAAATATCTATTCGCATAGTACGTTTATTTAGATTAACTTAGATTAACTGAGTTCTTCCAGGAAAAAGGGAAATGGGATTATCTCCCGCTTGAAATCGCGGATGTTCTAACTTCTGGCTCTGAAGTTATAACTAGCTGCGGAAATTAGTATACTTTGTTTTGATATATTGTGTACGGAGTACTGTTTATTTTGCCGAAGGCTGAGAAAGTTGAAATGATAAAATCCAACTATCTCTACGCTTATCATATGTTGGATACATATAATAATTTTAAATCTAGATCCTTTTATATTCATTGTCATCATCCATCGCGGCCCATCGGCCAACTAAATACGCTTTGCTATAACATTTGCCAAAAGCATAGCTATCTATTCAACATTGTACTTGCCCCCCTTCCCTTCACCCTTACTACCACCCCACCATCCCTCTGCTCTCCCTCCCAACCATTTGCCCCGTTACGCTTCCCAGGTGCTTATCAATGGTATCAGGTACTAAGGCCCAGCACCAATTCCTTACCCTAGCATCAATCGCCCCCTCAACAATTATCTTCGCCGTCCTAGTGATAAGTAAACAACCTCTTTCATAAATAAAAGGGACTCAAAACAATATCCCGCAGCCCAAACAGCCCAAACACAACGGCAAACTCAAAAACTTAGCAAATGCGGAAAAAAAAAGCGAACAGGTATCTCCTCTCCACTACTATTTTGTTCAGTGCTTCATAAAATGGGCATAAATGCAGAAAAATTCATGCCGTATGCCATATGAAAATAAAATGGAATAACTGAAGAAACGCGAAGAAGGGGTGGCGAAGGGCAACGCAATTGGTTTTTTTGTTCAACAAAATAATATGATCAAATAGGGGGGATCAACGCCTAGAATGCACATGTATCTGTCGCCCTTGTGTGTCTTGGCAAACAACAAAATTTTAAAAGAGGACAAGGGAAGGGGGAGGGAAGGAAGGGAGAGATGAATCGAAGTATAGTTGTGAAAAGTAATTATCATGCAGATTTTTGGAATTGTAGATCATGAGTTTAAGGTCAAATGCATAATTTGAGTTTTTAGAAGTCCTCGTCTTTTCCATGATTGAAAACAGAGTGGAAGAAGGCGTGGGGTTGATGGGAAGGCCGTTAGGGTTAAAGAGGTTGGTATATAGATAAAAAAATATATATATATATTTGTTGTATAGATAGTCGTAGAGGGTAAGACGGTGACAGCGAGAGCTCTGTGGTATCATGCGCTTAATCGTTGGATAAACGACTGCAATAACGAAGCTAGGTTAGATATTATATTTCTAGTAAATTTTTTCTCTGGATTTTTCAGGATAGGGGAGAACTGTAGCTGAAGCAAGTGCACGGGATTTGAAAATAAAAGAGGTTAAACATACCTGAAAAAATTGCCGGAATCCCTTTACATCCAGCTGCTCCAAAGATCCGACATACTCATCAATGAGATCCCCCCCCATTCCCAACCCAGGCAATTCTCTTCCTCTAAGCCATTCAATATACTCCTGTCCTGTCTTTAAGTATATGACCTTTTGTAAGCCAGCCGCCTCGCCCAGGACTTGTTTGGCTTGCGCATCCTTCGGATTGAAGGTGGGAGTCATGGGAAGTGACCAGCAGAGAGGGGAGAAGCGGGTGATCATGAACTGAGCAAAACCCGGCAGGGCGGCCTGGGTAGCGATATCGCCATTGGAGGTATCTGCGGGTTCGTTGATATCTGGCCCGCCCCATAGGCTGGACATACGGGACAGGACTGAGAATGCCATCTTAGCCGTGGGGAAATCGTCGACATCCCTTGCAAAATGTTCAATGGTGGTAATGACGGTTTCGAAGATAGGCTGATTGGCTAATTTTGAGAGAAAAGTTTGTCAGCATTGAGTGTTTTAGAAGCTATATTTAATATGAGGGTTTAAAAACATACTACTACTAATTATGACCGGTCCGAGGTTATGATTCAGGAGAATTAGCAAGAAGTGGAGATACTCCCGTTTCAGTTCCGCAAGTTGAATCTCATCGTCGGTGCCCGTCGTTGGGTCAGAAATTCCCGCAAATACCCGCTGGAGGAAGGGCGTTAAGAGGGTGTCCAGCATACCATAAATCTCGGTTTTGAAGCCAAAAATAATCTGATCTAGTAAGCGTAAAAACAAAGCCATCTCATCTTTGGAGGATGTTTCCGTCATTAATCCATCAATCCACCGTGGGAGTTGTGGTAAATTCTGCGAACCGCGAACGCCAACAAGTCTGGAGAATGCAAACCTGGACGCTGTTCTAATATTAAATGATGATTTCAGAGACTCAAGAGCCACCAAGGTGGCCTCGGATACTTGGCTGAACGCATCGGATATTTCCGGTGCCGGGGGCGACGTAGGTGTTGTAGTCCCTGGAGTCCAGTCCGAGAACCCTCGAGCGAGTGTTCCCAACGCCATTATATCATGGTGAATTTGTAAGATGGATCTTTCGTCGTTTTCCTTAGCAGCCCCCAGGTGTCGCTCCATGTCCATGAATATAGGATTCATGACAGATTGAGCATAAATGACTTGTTGGTCAACAGGGACTGCAGTCGTAGAACAAATAAGGCCAATGGCTTCGAAGAGATATAGCTGGCTATTGAAGACAGCGTCTGCGGAGCCCTGGTGGTCTTCTGATGACATGTCATCCGCGTCAGACCCTTCTTGAGGCACTTCTGCTCGGATGACAAGGAGATCACCGAGAGCTTTGATGACGGTTTCCGCAACATTCCCAACGCGGTTCCGAAGATGCTTAACGAGTCGATGAAAGAGATACCAAGATCTAGTACTGACTTTCTTGACTGGATGATGAACTAATTGTAGGAAACTTTCTAAGACACCCGGGATGAGATGGACATGATGATCGAAAAAGGAGCTGTACCGCACACAGATTTCCATGAATTGGAGCTGGGTTGCCGGATGGGTAAATGATCTGATATCTGTTAAAGGGCAAACTCAGTTAGCAAACAACGTGGAGACTAACTGGTGGGAGCGAAAACAACTTACCAGCTTCAACCATGCTTCGCATCATCTCCACCAGCCTTTCTGCTGCAGCATTATTCAATTTATTTTTGACGTACAAGCCGCCCGATTTCACAGCTAGGTCCCCAAAGAGGAACATCTCATGTAAGGCAAGATCTAGATCCCTCCAGTCAACTTGGGAGCCAGGCCGTCTCAGGTTTTCAAAAGTAGTCCCAACCACCTCACTCACAACATCCATGTAAAGCTGTTCGTTTGAGGATGCAACGATTTGCTGAAGTACGTTTAGCCGTTTCCTGAGTTCCTGAAACTCAGCTTCGTCTGTTTGCTCATCCTCGTCGCCCCATGTCGAAGTTTCATCGTATCTCATTTTAGCAATGATAGCCTTTAGAATTGGCATCAGCATACTGGTTTGCTGAGGGACAAGAGCTGGATTCTTTTTGGCGCTTTTGCGGATGTAGGACAGGAGATCGTTCATTGAAGGGATAACGGTGGAACATATCTCATCGTACTCATCTGCGAAATATCGGAGAATATGTGGTAGAAACGATTGTAGAAGAGTCTCAGCCTTTTCCTTAGTGGCGGAGTCGATAGTCTCATTATCTAAAACTCGGACGATATCAATCGTCGTCATGTTCACCAGTTTAGCCACCGTTTCTGCCAGATCAGTGTCGTATTTAGAGGTGAAGCGATGGTCGTGCAACGGAGGGCTTGCAGTAAGTTGAGCCACAATACTCTCTAAATTGAGGAACACGATCATATCGATCTTATCCGAAGGCTTCATTTTCTTGCCCACAATCTCAGTAAATACGTCAATTGCTGCATCCCGAACCTTCTCCCCACCCTCAGGGAGATTAACATCCTTGGCTCTGGCAAGCTGCTGGAAGAGCAGATCAAGCATAGACTGGTTGACGATTAGCGAGATATCGATCCAACTGACCCAACTGCCAATGGCTCTTAGGCAAATCTCCGCTATCGGGTCGCTTCCATTCTGCCACTGTGACAGAATTTCCTGCCAGGAGCTAACAATTTTCTGCACGTCCCGTTGGCGTATAAGGTCCTTCAGCAGATTTGCCTTGTCCTGTTCGACCCGTGACCTCGAGAGCAGCACATCTCCTATCTCGCCGTGGATAGAGTTAATGACCCGGAGGTAAAATATGATCCCGAGGGAGTTATCCTTGGATGAGCTCTGGGGACCTTTGTACGTTAAACGGATAATATCGTCAAAAAAGGTCTCCCATCCGTTGCCATAGAGGGCGGAGAAAAGGTATGTCAACGTTTGGGCCACCTTATTCTGAATGCTGGCTGGGTCGATCTGAGCGGCGGGCCCGAGGCCATATACCTGGCCCAGATATTCCATCATTGTATCCTTGATATACCCAAGACCCTGCATGTCCACTAGACCGGTCTGTGTCGCACTATTGACAATCTCTAGAGCAGAATGGCGCACAACCTCCGAGCGACGGGGCGATTTGGTGAAGATGGATAGGCACACGTGCCATCCTGAAGGGTCCGATCGGAGCTGGTTGAGGTATTCAAATGCCTGTGCCTTGAGCGCTTGGTCGGAGGAGGGGTTCCAGGCAATTTCAATGGCGTTCGCTACCTAGTTATCAAAAACAAGTCAGAGCTTTGCATGGTGTCTAGTTGCACTGCGTCGAGTAAAGTTCGATCGAGGGGCAATTAACGGAGAAAAGACGGATATGAGGCTAAAAAAAAAAAATTGGTGTATCTACCTGGTCCTCCATCGTTTGGCCAGTAAGTTCTCCAGGCCACTCAGCTCACACAAGGTCTGTTATTCTAGACGGAGTCTGCCTGCGAGAAGCTTTCCTGCTTTGTGCAGGAGAATTCTGTTTGAGGTTGAGCGTTGTGGTGTGGTGTCATATCACGCTCCTTAAGCCATGGCTAGGCTTCTGGGAGTCGGGTAACGAATAGTAAGGGGCTCTGGTAATAAAACTCGAAGTAGCAGGTTTGGAGCTGGAATTGCGGAACAACAATACGCTATTGCAATTGCGAGGAAACTTGCGGATGTGGATCTAAGTTCTGTTGGGTTAACGGAGTCGTTAGGGCAGATTGGGAGTCCTGGCGGGGTGTTGGCTGAGAGTTGTTTTTTGGGATGGAAGACGGCCTATTTTTACTGATAAGACTCGCGCGCCGCAGCAACCAAGGCCGCCACAGTCATTGAACCCCTACACCGCACAAAGTTGTGTGCAACGACTCCACTCGGAATGAAGACTCAAATTTTGTTCTGGGGCTATCGGGGGGAAATAAATGTTTTTTTTTTTTTTTGGGAAACGGATCGGCTGAAAATAATATGGATTTTACTCTTTCTACGGAGTATACATATACTCAATGCACTGGTGGACCGGCAAAGAATGGTCCTTTGGCTGGGCTCACGTGGTAACATCCCCAACTGAAGAATGCGTTCCTGGATTTCGGTCTTCTAAACATTTATTGTATCTTCACTTCTGCAGATGGGTATTTCTCGCACTTCCAGATTCGTGGTTTTATGTATCTTGCCTCTTACACTAACGTCGATGTAGATAAACACGTTTTACTGATTCTAACCCCTAGAGCCTGCTTAGCGTAGAGTTCATAACGAAACAAAAGTTGAATTCAGATGGATAGTTAACGATGCCATCCAGGCTGGGCAAAGAAACAGGTGTCTACCAGCCTTCTCTGGAAGACAAGCAGGCTATGACGGCAATGTCAGAGCCACAGCGCCCAGACCAGCAGATCCTCGTCCGGGATGTTGGGATATGGGACATGCTGAAGGATGAGCATTGCAGTATTAATTCTCTAAACAATACCAGCTCATGAAGGAAGAGGGAGACAGGAAAAGTCAGGTAAGGCCAAGAAAGGGGGCTCCTGAGGATTAATGGTATGGAAGCGGAGAGTGAGCAATCGAAACGTCATTCGTATGCATGATGAGCAAATGCAGTTTGCTAGTTTATGGCAAGGGGAGAGCTCCCTTTCTTCAATGGGAACTTGCAATTTGACTGGCAGTACAGACGTGCTCTGTATATCATTCCCTATTATCGCATAGATCTTCGGGTAGAAGAAACCAAGAACGAAGCTGGTAAGGCAGGAAGAGCCTTTCAGAGAGCAGAATGACGCAGGGCAAGGCTCATAATAAGTTAATAATAAGTGCACTGGCTGACCGGTAGTTACTAACTATTTAGCTTATTTAGATAAACGACTTCATTCTAGGATGGTTTCCAGCAGTTTGAATATGAGTTTCCTAACGTTCCATGTAAAATCTTTCCTTACATTTTCTAGAGAATTTAAAGGAATGGAGGGACTACATGGGAAGGCGATTTAGACGAGTGGATGTGTGAAGCAGCAATGCCAAACAAACAACCGTTTAAAAACGAAGATAGGAGGAATCTCTATACTCCACGCATGCGACCAGAAAAGAAAAAAAAAAAAAAAAAAAAAAAGCCCCAGAAAAAGTGAAAATGAGACGAGGAACAGTAGAGAAGCAAAACGATTTAAACTCAACCCGCACTCCTTCCTTCCGCCTCCTGCCTTAAAATCCGCTTCTCCATCATCTCAAACCCTTCCACCGCCTTCCCAAACCTCTCAAACAACCCAGGCTGATACCCTTCATCAATCTTCTCCGCAAACTCCTCCTCCTTCCACCTCTTCCCAATCAAATCCTCAAACGTCTGGTTCGGCGCCCTCTCCTGCGCCCAGACGGCCTTATAGGCTGCCCCAAGCGCACAAGCATTCTCACCAACATCTAGCTTGTAAACCCCTTCAACCCCGCCGAGGACTTCCCCGGCCACTTTGGCAATGGCTTTATTGCGCGACCCACCACCAACAAGGTATACGCGGTGGGGCTGCGGCGGGGTGTCTTTGGACGGGCTGTGCACGAGATCGCGAGAGCGCAGACGTAGCGAGAGCATCTGGCTCTCGACGATGGCACGCGCGTCGTCCAGTGGCCTGTCCCAGCTCTGCTCGGATTCCTCGAGGGTCTTTTTGCGGGGGTCGTAGTTGAAGTGCCATTCGCCGTTGCGGAGGTTAGGTACGATTTCGGGCCTGGGGAAGAAGAGGCCCATTTTCATGAGATCAGCGTCTGTTCTTTGGCCGGCTGCTGGTCGTTGCAGGAGGGCTTTGTCAAAGTTACTCCAGGGATCGGAAGAAGTGGTGCCAGATGAGTCTTTGCTAATTTTATCATTAATGGCGTCACGGATGTGTTCGCGCGCCAATCCGCCGTTCTTATAGCATAGCATGAACATATAGAGCCCCGGTGTTGTTGGGTGGTTGAAGAAGTGTGTCGAGGGGTCAGTCTTGTATTCTGGCGTTGACATGAGGAAGGTAGTTGAAGTTCCTAGGGATACCATTGCGTCCCCTGGTCGCAAAGGTAGAGCGAGGATTGTAGCTGGATTATCTCCCGTGGACGGAATTACAACACATTCAGGATTGAACGAGTACCGCTCTATAAAGTAGCGGTTAATTTTCCCCAGTTCTATTCCACCATCGTCTGGTACGTCGCCTAGTTTTTGTTTTAAATCGGCTACTCCATACGGTCCAGCGCATAGCTCGAGCAACCGCTCATTCCACCGGCCCTTTTGAATATCCCATAGATTCATCCCGCATACATCTGAGATATCAAAGGGGGCAATCTTGCCTAAGAATAAGGACGCCAGGAAGGACGAGACGAGTGAGATCCTCGCAGTCTTCTTATATGCATCCGGGTACTTGCGCTGGAACCGTAGTATTTGCGGTCCCGTAAATCTCTGTCCCAAATTAGCACAATCGTTAAGAAGTAGAATATAACCGAAAAAAGATGTAAAAACCGAGAGACCAGACCACCTTACATGATGCGCCTTACTTCCCGTCACCTCCGCCAACTTGCCCTGCCCCCCCAGAAACTCATCAAATTGGTCACACTCCCGTTGTGTACTCGCATCCTGCCAATTCGGACTATGCGGATGCGATAGCGCCGCCGCAACCTGCTCTTCCAGCCCCCTCCCCGCATCCAACTCAGCCAAAATCCGCCCGGCATCCGCATTCCAATAGACACTGCCATGCTGCTGGCCCGCACCGCTGATGGCGCGTACACGCCCGAAATCCAGCCCTTGCTCCTTAAGCCGGAGCAGCACGCCATCCAGCGCTTGCAGCCACATGGCGACGGGTGCGAAGACTTCATGCTCAACCTCGTTGGTCTGCACGCCGTTCTCGACGGGGAAGCCGTGCGAGTCGGCGTCGAAGTCGAATTTGGCTACATGGATGACTTTTAGCGAGGAGGTGACGACCAGGCCTTTTAGTTGTTGGGTGGAGAGGTCGAAGCCGATGTAGAGGGGGCCCCCTTGGTCGTGGGTTTTCATTTGTTGTGTTTATGTTTGGAATTGACTTTTCGGGTATATGGGGTATTGTATTTCGTTTCTTGATGCTGCTTCTTTTGTTGGCTTTCGATTGACCCTCTTGGTTTTACGCTCTGGTTCTGCGAATTGGAGAGAGGTCTGTGTGGGGAAGGCCTAGCTACGTCATAAGATGGGGAAAAAATACGTGGATGATGAGGGGACAGTTGGGATGAAGCAGGCTGCTGGCAGTCCGGGTGAAAACAAATATGGGGTAGTGGAGTGGATAAAGAATAGAAATATTATAACTGAAGCAAGCGATTACTTAGAAGTCAGAAGCTTGTTTCGTGTTATGATTTGGGTGATTCATTTACTGTGCCCTATACAAGAGACTATTTCGCAGGGTGTACTCTGTACTCCGTACAGTGGCCTCCTGATGTCAATATACAGTGTAGATCCGTTTTGGTCGCGCTGAACGTAAATTCGCCATGAGCACTAATCTCTAGTCTGTTGTGTTGCATCGATGTGAACCATTATTAACTGCCTCCCCTAAATTCCGCGACGATGAATGCTAGTATTACTAGTACTACAGAGTACGTATACACCCAATTCTACTTTGTGGTTTGGTTAGCTATGCAGAAAAGACACGGCTAGATATGTGTCCTAGGACTAGATCTAGCAAGCGGAAAGTCAAGCTCTGTTAATTTGTACCGTCTACAAGTCGTAGATACATACATATAATCTAGGTGGCCTCGTCTAGTTACAATGCACTCTCACATTGCCCCATTGCAAACCCAGGGGCCAAAACCCAAATTCCGAAATTAAATTCTCTTAAAATAATAGGTGGTACATGGGGTTTTAAATGTCTATCGAGCCCGGGAGGTGTGAAAATAAATCGATCACGGAGAACAACAACTGAGACAGAAAGGGGGAAACAGGCACCAAAGCAGCCCAAGATAAACTATCCGCAGAGTAAATACTATGGAGAAAAGACCTAAAAAAAATATGACCACCGTCTTCCAACGCCAGTAGATCATGTTGAACTTCTTCCCTTCTTCTTCGTCTTCGTCTTCGTCTTACTGGTGTCTTCCTGTTTTTGGTAGCCGCTGTCAAAGAAATCGCTCGACACCGCTCCAAATATTGTGTATAGATAGTTTCGAAAACTGTTATGTAGCCTTTCCACTAGAACCAGCCCAGCGGGACAAGCGAGAAGTGAAATTTTGTCAAAGTAGAAGCCGGATTGGGCGCTCTGTATAAGCATGCAACCCCGTCCTGGCCTGAACTTGACACGGCTTTTTCCTCGTTTCAAACAGCTTCACATCAACGTCCAGAGACAACCAAGAACGAAAAAACAGCGACAAGTAGGTGTTGTGTTTCGCGAAAATATGCATATAGAATGTGTCTAGCGTCTCTTATTCACGGTCCCTTCATTCTCAGCTTGTGATCCCGAACTCACAGCCGCAAATTTATCATGATGAGCAGTCCCATTGGCTTCTTCTGCTTCCGGTTCCGGACTGCTGCGCGGGCTAACATCCCGCGCAATAAACTCCTCCAAGAAGCTCGCATCCCGCTCAGTATTAGGCGTGAACCGAACCTTTAACCGTTTCACCCCTCGAACCCGCGAAGCAACCCGCTGCCGAATAGCCTCTTCAACTACTCGTGTCTGACCAACAGACCACGAGCTGGGCACGGCCAGCTCGACCTCCATCAGATTATTCTGACCCGATTTGATTCCTTGCACTTCGCGGATCTGTATCTCGCTCCCAGTACCATCTGGCAGCGCGGAAATGGCCTTCCTAACCGATTTCTCGACAGACGCGCTCATTTCAGAGTCGACGCTGACGTCCGCCAACTCCAGTAAGGAGATCTTGGTATTTACCCACCCGGCTCGAATGACCATGAGAGAAATAATAAGGCCGCCCACTGGATCGAGCCAAGAGGCGTCGGGGAGGATATGGGCACCGCCGATTGTGAGGAGGGCGACGAAGCTTGTTAGCGAATCGACGCGATGGTGAATGGCATTTGATGCTAGGACGGACGATTTTCGCTGGCGTGCTACTTTCATCGCTGTTTAGGGGCGTTGTGTGCGTTAGTGGAAAGATCTTTTTAGGTGCAACGGGGTACGGTTGTGACAAGCTTACTTGCATGATACAACGATTCCTTTACCAAAATGGAGCCCGCCGCAAGCCAGGCCGCGTTTATATTCGGACCCAGTAACTCATGATCATGGCTGTGACCGTGAGAATGTCCGTGGCCCAGTAACCCCAGGTGTGCGAAGCAATCCGCAACGGCAGGAAAAAACTGCGTAAGCAGAACCTCCATCGCGTTTAAGCCCATCAAAAATCCTCCGCATAAAAGTAAACCGCTCACGCCCAAAGCACCAAGACTCTCCACCTTCCCGTAACCAAACGGAAACCGTGATGATGGCGGCTTAAGTGACAGTGACACTGTGGCAAGAGTCATGAAGTCCGAGACCAGGTCTGTAGCGGCATGGTAGGCATCTGCTATTAACGCAGAGGAGTTGAAGACGTATCCCCCAAACCCCTTTCCAATTGCCATGGCCAAGTTGGAAAGGAGGCCGATTCGCGTGATCCGCACGCCTGGGTCATTTTTATTCTTGGATACCAAGTATGTATTGTCGTGGTGATGGTGGTGGCCATGACTGTGCCCGCTGTGAGATCTGGTCTGCGAAGCCGTCATTGGTGCGAGGAGACACGAGGAGGATTGAGGGAGGAGGGGACTGGTAGGGGGACGGGGAGGGGTGGAACGGCGGGTCGGGGGTAAACTCGTAACGGTTCCCGTCTTGCGGCCGTGGTGACAGTAGTGGGCAGGGGACAGGGGTTGTGCGGTGGGGTTGGGGTAATGAAAGACACGTTGCGTTAACGATCTTACGAGATGTCTTGGTGTAGCAGACGGCGGAGGAGAGATCTGGGCCACCTGCATGCGCCGTGGAGGTTGCCGATGCAGCGCCATAGGAGAAGACACCACGGGGCGCAAATGGGCCAGTCGGACTCGGCTCCTGCAGCCCCGGGGCTGCGGGAAGATCATGACACTGGGCCTAGCATAAGACTGGGTAGTTGGATGAATGGTTCAATTAAGAAAAATATATAAAAAAAATCGCCAAAAAAAACCCCGATGGGCAGCTCCGGGAAATAATTATTCAACTGCGGCGAAAAAAAAAAAAAGAAAACCTTTACCAGCCCAACCCAGCCAAGATATTTAAGCCCGCAGCAACAGGTAAATAAAATATACTTTTCCCAGGCCGCTGCCGGAGAGGCAGAGAGAACAGGATTTTTGTCGAAGGTGCGATACTACATCTTCTGGAGGTAAGGTGTGAATTGGCTGCGGGCACTGACTGGAAGAGAGAATTGAACTTCCTTTAAAACAGTATCAATGATAGAGACCTACCTCTTGAGTATAAATATGTATTGTATTGTTTATCAACATATCATATCCGTAGCCACATATGAACGCTAAGAAGTTCCGGATGCCGCAGCCCTTGGGTCGAACCACAGTTGCGCCATGTCCAACAGAATCAGACATTTTGAGCACGATTACGATTCTTCCTAGCTCAACGCCAAATCGCATCAACTGTTAAATAAGTTAACTATTAACTAATATTGTGACAAAAAAAAAAAAAAAAAAAAAGAACAAAGTCAGGATTAGTAATGACAGCCTTACCCTTAGCTGGTTAACAGCTGGACTCTTTATTTGCAATAGTTGGTTCTAGGTTCATGGGGATGGGATCATCTAGCTACAGTAAATTCCATCATATTTACTGTAACTACATGTACTAAAGCTACTAGTTACTATCTATCCGTCACCATCAGACTTCCCCGGTTCTCCCAGCGACACAATTCCGCCATGTCTTACTGCTCATGACGAAGCCCCTGATCAGAATCCCCTTCACGGGTCCTCTCCCTCCACCAATTATATATCCCCGCTCCGCCAACTCCATCTCCGGCGCAGTCGACGCCATCTCATCCTTCCTCTCCGCCCCTCCCCCCCGCCTCCTCAGAGGCACTGATGTTGGCCGGAACGAATTAACGGTCCTACTCACCGGTGCCGGCATCTCCGTCGCCTCAGGCCTCGCAGACTACCGTGGCGAAAATGGCACCTACCGACGAAACCTAACCTACCGTCCCATCTTCTACCACGAATTCATTTCCCAGCACGAGGCGCGGAAACGATACTGGGCCCGCAGCTTTGTGGGATGGCCCACGCTCGTCAACTCCAGCCCCAATGATACACATCTAGCTATTGCAGAGCTGGGTAGGAAGGGCTACATATCCTCCGTCATTACCCAGAATGTCGACTCTTTCCACTCCAAGGCCCACCCGCATATCCCCGTCGTCGAGCTGCATGGCTACCTACGTTCGCTTGTATGCGTCAATTGCCGCCGGTCAATGTCCCGGAACGACTTCCAGGCGGCGCTGCTAGAGCTTAATCCGGCCTGGTCTGAGTTTCTGGACCAGATAGTTAAGACGGGCGCGTTGGACACGGATAACAGGGAGGAACAACAGAAGAAGGGACTGCGGATGAATCCAGACGGTGATGTTGATCTCCCCAACGCCCCGTACTCGAAATTCCGCTACCCCCCGTGCCCCCACTGCCTCGAGAATCCGCCCCTTCTCCGCAATGGCACGCAAGGGAGGGTAGAGGTGGAGCACGATGGAGCGCTTTCTGCTAGTTCCAATGCTGGCATACTGAAGCCAGCTGTGATCATGTTTGGGGAGTCGGTTGATGAACGTGTCAAGGAACGAGCGGAAGAGGCGGTTGATGAGGCAGGGAAACTACTTGTGCTGGGGAGTAGCCTGGCGACATTCTCAGCATGGAGGCTTGTGGAGCGCGCCATCGCGCGGGGAATGTCGATTGGAATCCTGAATGTTGGGGGCGTCCGCAATGAAGCTAGAGTGTTCCAGGCAGCGAATGGGTGTGGGTTTACCGACCCGATGATGCGTGTGAGATGTAGTGAGCAGGCGGAGTTTGTTTTACCGCTAGTTGCTGCTCAGCTCAATGCAGCCTCTCCCGTTTGGCGGAGATGATGAACCTTTCATTGTTTGATTTTGGCTAGGGGCGGGGGCGTCTTGAAACTACAGGGGGGTTATACTTCTTCTTCATGTTTTCTTTTAAGATGATAATGTACAGGGCATTGTTTGAAATAGACCTCTGTTCTGCTGGAAGTCACATTAACTATTTATAGAGCGGCGCATATTTGCCTCTGTTATGGGCGCCTTCAAGAGCTCCTGAAACGTCTCGATAAAGAATGGGCGGCAATTTCGACTACCTTCGCCATTATTTACCTAGAGGTAGAATAGATGAAAGGTCATAGAGTATCGTAAGACCGATTGACCTTGGATGCAGTCTTGAGCCACAGCACCAACTCTGGGTAACTTTCAGCCTATCCATATCTGCGCTGAGGGGCAACTCTCGCCGCAGAAACCTTAGCGTCAGCATCAACCGCGGGGCCTCGACGCAAAATCAAGGCCCTGCTACTTAAATGGTGACTCCCAATCGTCCGTTGTCTACTATTTGTGAAGAATAACACATTGGGGGCTCGTAACCTGGTTAGTTTACAGGGGACTCCTCCAACAATCTCAGAGCGCAAACCAACCCGCGTTTATCTTGATATGGACCGCCCCAGCCCCACACACCCCCAACCTGCTCACCATTCTTCTACAACCGCTGCCGCCGCCGCCCCCGCTGCTGCGGCCAATACTACCGCTGCCGCTGTTACAGCTGCGACGACGGCCTCTTACTTAAATATTGCTTCCTCGCTCGTATCCCCCGGCACGTATCTCGCAAACCAGCGACCCGTGCCACATCCAACCTACAGGCCTTCACCAGCGCGAGCAGCACCCGGTACAATGGACAAACGACAACCACCCAACTCATTTCAGCAGCTTGAGAAAGTATGTAGCATACTGATTTTGAAGTTGTATTCGAAGACTTTCGTTTTTATTTTCTCTAACTAACATTTCTCATCTAGCTTGGCGAAGGAACTTATGCTACCGTACGTGACGCGATCGTTTCCTATATATCCCTTAACTAGGTTCCTACCTCTCCAATCACGACCCTTGCTAAATATGATACTCGCGAACAGGTCTTCAAAGGGCGCAACCGCCAGACCGGTGAGTTGGTCGCGCTGAAGGAAATCCACCTAGACTCCGAAGAAGGCACTCCATCCACCGCCATCCGAGAAATATCACTCATGAAGGAACTAAAGCATGAGAACATCGTCTCCCTCTACGACGTTATCCACACCGAGAACAAACTCATGCTCGTCTTCGAGTTCATGGACAAGGATCTCAAGCGCTACATGGACTCGCGCGGCGACCGCGGCCAACTCGACTACGTCACCATCAAATCCTTCATGCAGCAGCTGCTGCGCGGCATCGCCTTCTGCCATGAAAACAGAGTCCTCCACCGCGATCTCAAACCGCAGAACCTCCTCATCAACACCAAGGGCCAGCTAAAGTTGGGCGATTTTGGCCTCGCCCGCGCCTTCGGAATACCCGTAAACACCTTCTCCAACGAAGTCGTCACCCTCTGGTACCGCGCCCCGGACGTCCTCCTGGGCAGCAGGACCTACAACACCAGCATCGACATCTGGTCTGCTGGCTGCATCATGGCAGAGATGTATACAGGGCGCCCTCTGTTCCCCGGCACGACAAATGAGGACCAGCTTCAAAAGATCTTCCGGCTAATGGGCACTCCATCCGAACGCTCCTGGCCCGGTATCTCCCAGTTCCCCGAATACAAACCCAACTTCCAAGTGTATGCGACGCAGGATCTCCGTCTGATCCTACCACAGATCGACCAGTTAGGATTGGATTTGTTGAATCGCATGTTGCAACTTCGTCCTGAAATGCGCATTAGCGCTGCTGATGCGTTGCGCCATCCCTGGTTTCAGGATTTGAATCAGTTGCAGGCTCAACAAGCTGCTGCACAGCAACAACAACAGCAACGACAACAGCAACAGCAGATGTCGGCTAGTGGATACGTGGCTCCGGGGCTTGGTTCGCAAGGTGGATATTGAGGGATGGGTTTTAAATCTCTCTTTTTATTTAAATAATGGGATTAAAGTATTGAATTAATTGCTTGATTGATATGCTCGGTAATGGGAAGACGAACTTGGCAGCGCGGCGTTTTTGACGTTGGATGGCGCTACATCTTTGCTTTTCCTGGGTATTTAATAACTAGGTTATGTTGTCGAATGAATTTTCCAAATAATGGGTTATGGAATGAATTTTCGTTTTATGTTAATCTTTTGATTTTCGATACTTTGGTCTGAGGTCAATAGGGATTGATAGTTTCCTGTCTGGCTAGAGTTGAAACTGGCGAATTAGGACTGCTGTGCTCAGTACTCCGTACGGAGTACAAAGTTGTGGAATCGAATATATTTCAGATAGATAGAGTTTCAACCGCTCTCTAATCTAAGTTACCCTTTTAAAAAGCTAAGAAGTTTAGCGCTGATCCAGATTGACATCATGTGATCTCGCGTCTGGGCCAAGGCGCGACCCCCAAGCCCGTGAGCAAGCCATCCCGGTCACCTCGATCTAAACACCTTCTCCGCCCTATCTATCCAATTGCTCTCTACCCGCAGTAGAGTAGCCCTTAACACCCTTCAGATGGGAAAATGACACCCCAACCAACCCCTCCCGCGCCAAATGGCCACACCCAACAACAACAAGAACAGCAACAGCAGCAAAACCCCGCCTCCCCCTCCCCACCGCCTCCAGCTCCAGTCCCTCTGACACCCGGGCCCCGCGCCGTGCGCCTCCAACAAGTCTTCTCCCAAGCCCTCCTACGCACCATACGCGCTAATTCCTACGCGAACTTCGCCGCCTGCTTCCCCACGCCGGCTAAACGTGTCCCGCATAGCCTCGAGTCTGTCTGGAGACAGCTGAATGCGAAGCTAGAAGAGAGCGCGCGCGCGGAGTTTGAGGATGTATTGAGGGAGAGGGAGGTGGTTAAGGGGTTGAATGAGTTGGATCGGTTGGTTGGGGAGGCGAGGTTGCGGAGGGAGAATGGAGAAGGGGAGGCGAGTGTGCCGTGAGTCTTTGTCCCCCCTCCTCCCCCCCCCCCCTTTCTCCAACCCTTTCTTTTTGTATTCTTTTTGCCCCTGGGAAGATGTAAATTGGTTCTGCATTGGGTATACTAAAAACCTTCTTTTGTGTTTCTTTTTGTTATAGGCCTCACACTCTAGGCGCGAACGAGCTTTACCAAGCGCACCTTGCGCCGTATCTGTCAGAAGCCCAGGCTTCGCTAAATACGAAATTGGAAACCGTGCAGAAGGAGAATGCCCAGCTTTCCGAGAAAGTCGCATCTCAGAGACGGGAGATTGAGCAATTATTATCTGGCCTTGAAGCTGTCATTAGCGACGTGGAAGGCGCAGCGGCCGCTACGACGGAGTTTGACGCAAACCATACCCTGCGTAAAGAGGCGCAGGAAATGGACGATGAAATTAAGGCCGCTCAACGGCCATGATTATGTTTTTGTATTTACAACGGGAACTTGTGTGGTTCGATAGCGAGTGTATGTCATGTGTGGGGTTACCAACTCGGGATCTTAAAATTACAGGGCATAGCGCCGGGCTTGTACGTATGTACAGATCTCAGAACACGATCTCGTCCGGGTCAACTTTCCGGAAAAGTCCATCCATATCCTCCGCCGAGACCAGCCCATCGTCAACCATATCCTCCGCTATCTGCCTCAATTCCTTTTCCGAGCTGGCTATCAATTCTTCCATTTTCTGCATGTCGCCCGCGAGAGCAAAGGCAAATGCTTCTTTCGCTGTCCCTTCTTGACACTGTTCTGTTAATCCATCCCTCCCGGCAAGAGCAGCTGCTCCGCGATAATATGTCTGCGCATTCTTCAGGAGTGTCGAGGCATTCTCATGCGATATCTTATAGCTCCAAGGCTGCCCACCCAAGCGCCACCGATACATCTCAACGTCTCCTCGCGCAAGGTGGATCTTGGGCAAATTTTGGGCCTCGGGAAGCTTTGTTGCTGCGGTAAGGGAATCTAGAGCGGACGATAGCGCTTGCCATCGTAGCGTCAACAGCCTATTCAACGCTTCCTCGTTGTCCGGCTGGTCGCAATCTGCCATGGTAGAGTTGAACGCCACCAGCGACTCTGCTTGGCTGCAAAGCGCCCCCGGATTTCCCGGCAAATCCTTCACATCTCCAAACGCCGCGCTCACTTCGTTCTTGTACGTGTCAAAATCAATCCTCCCACTCCGGAACGAGACTTCCGCCAACGTTGAAATGAACTTGGCGCGCGCGAGCGCTACCTCGTTCTGCCTGTCTGTTCCCTCAACGTACGCCGCGATTTTCTCCTTTAGCAGCACCGCAGAATACTCCTCGACCCACGCAAGAGTACTGCCAGGATCAAACGTAAGTAACCCGCAAAACGTGGCCAATGTTTCCAACTGCGCCACAGCGGTGTCAACAAGCGTATCCTTGGTTACCGGTTCGATGACTGTAGCCCACTGTTCCGACTGTGTGGGTTCCGTAGCTCCTATTCCAGTTCCAGTTCCAGCTTCAGCGCCCTCCATCGCCCGGTCTGTTTCCAAATTTGCTTGCTGCTCATCGCGATCAAAGGCTCTGGACTTCGCCATAGCATGCTGATGCTGTCCTTCCGTAAACCGCAGCTCCTGTACACCTAGACATCGCTGGAAAAGATCCAACGCCTCCTGCAAATATCTCGAGGCTTCCTGCGTATGGTTCTCGGTGGCCCGTCTCCCATCTATAATCGCCTCTGCTAAGCTCGTCAATACCTGCGCGGTGTTGAAGAGGATTTCCGCATTGTCTTGTTGGAGGGTTAGGGCGTGTCTGTGGGACTTGAGCGCGATGTGGAGGATTTCGACAGCTGGGGCGGGGAGTTGGGTTGCTAGTTTTGGATGCTGGGTTATTTCGTATTGTATCCGTGCCCTATATTTAGAATAAGCCGTGCAGGAGAGTTAGGAAACAGATCTAATCAATCAAATATACCGAAAAGAACACCAATCTTTCATCTGTCCCTTCAATCGCGGAAAAGATGGGGTTTATACTACGTACTTATTGTATGCCAAATCAAACGAATTCGGAAACCTCCTCAGACCCGTATCGTACATTTCAATGGCACGCATGAAAAACCGCATGGACTTGACGGCATCTCCGGCTCGCCATTTTTCCCCGGCTTCTTCTAGTTCGACGCCAGCTGGGACAGGTTATTTTGTTAGTTGCTTTATTTCGATGCTGGATACATCTTGTTGCCCGCCCCGTGCCGGAGGATAGTAAGTGCTAATGGCAATGGCAATGGCAATCAATGGAAGTATAACTTACTAGCAAGGTATTCGTCTGCGCTTTCAGGCTCCTGGGAATTGAGCGTGGGGTGGTGAGTGAGAGGGAATTTTAATTCATCGGAACCGACATCGAAATGGGGAGAAGAGTAGGGGAGTAGAGGTAAAAGGAATAGCGACAAGGGGGATTCCAACTGGGGTGGGGGAATGTTGATCTTGTTGCCGTGAATGTAGTGGGATTTAACTGGGATTTATATCTAAAATATGAAGGGGAACGTATGCGGAACTGGACATTTCAAACAAGTGCGAGAGCAAATAGAGGAATAAACTCAAAATGGAAATTTGCAAAATGGGTGCGTAGATGAATGTTCTTAATATTATACGAACAGTATTCCTTGTTTTCCTTTTCGTCTTCGCTTCCTTTAGTAGTGTTTTCGGTTTTGGCATTGTGCGGGCGGAGGTTGTTCGCGGCAGGCGGGGCAGATATCGGGCTCAGATGGATTCGTTCAATTGATTGCTGGGGTTAATAAGATAGGCCGTGGGATGGGTAAATGATGCAGATAAATATATATGTATGTAGAAGTTAAATCCAGACTAAATATCCCAAAAGCATTTGATTGTTTCCCAGGCAGCGGACCTGAGGAAATGGTGGGGTTGAAAATGGGAAGCTTGGAAGATGACGGGTGGCGGAGGAGAGCAAAAGGCAACTAACTGGAATAGGGAAGGTTTGTTGAGAATGAAGGGTGATAAGATCGATAAGATTTGATCTGGGTTGGAGATGGCCTACTCTACTCTACTGTCAGTCCTTGATTCATCCAACCATAACAACTTACAAAAAATTACTATAGGCTTAGCTATATGTAGCCCTGGCTTCATCTATTAATTTTTTCCACTTTTCTTCCACTTCAATTCCACTAGTAGTTAATGGAGGAGCTTCCCTCACCACATAGCCATGGTCCACCTTTATACCCATATATGAATATAATCGTTACTAAGGCGAGCATTAAGAACCATTGTCTTACGTTTTAAAGCAGTAGATTCTTTCAATTTGAATCAACCTACAGGTCAATTTCCATTCTGACTTGCAGATCTTCACTTCGATGTTTTGATCAAGATCTGAGAAATTTGGGGAGGATGAAAAAAAAAAAAAAAAAAAAAAAAAAAAAAAAAAAAAAAAAAAAACAATTGAATTTCAAATACAAAATCAGATAATTAGTTGATGCTTTAGTTTGTTTTGCTGCACTCCGAAACATGGTATGCTCTAACACGTTCGCGATCACAAAACAAGGCCCTTTCAACGCATCAAATCAATAGAAACTACAAATAACATAGTCCAAGAATTATGTATAGAAATTACACCGGATAAAGATGGCTTATTACACTCGGATCTATTCACAATTTCAACCATTATCCACATTGGGTTGAGCTGCTCCCACGTATAGAAGAAAATAACGAGGAGGGAGAAGACAAGACCATTCAATCTAAGTAACTATCTCATAGTTAAGTGCTGGTTAACATTTATCCTAACCGTCAATTTACTATATTGTTCATGCTGCTGGTTGCAGACGCAGAGAAGCTGAATGGAAGGAAGACACAGCTGTGTGATAGTAAATATGATTTGACACATTACACCGTCATCAATGTGCAACACACCATAGCCTGGAGTAATATCTAAATTCAGTCGAACGCAGGAGTGAAAGAGTTGGAGTGATTTATGCATTATGCGGTCATTCTGTTGATATTATGATATCATAGCAAACGTCAGCAGCTGCGTGGTGGACGCGGCAGAGGAGACAGGGTTACCTTTCCTGCAATTGAAACAATTGTAACCGCACCTCGACAGATGTATTTGGTCATAGGAGGGAAGGGGGGGTGGAACATGGAAGGGAAGCGAAAGATGAAAGAAATCGAGATATCTTTAGTTTTATTCAATGTCTCTCCCTCGACCCTTTCCTCTCTGCCGGTTGTTACCTCCCCCTTATTCGTTTTTGTCAAGGGGTGAGGAAGAAGAAGCCGTTTTGATTCCTGCTCAGGCTGTCTATCTCCCTTTTGACCCCTTCTGGGGTCTCGACACAATGGGGTAAATGACTGGGCATTATTACCTAGGCAACTTACTAATCGCCCACCCTGGAGGCTAATCACACACGTGGCAGGACTGGGCTAGGCGAGAGCAGGGCAGCCACTGTTGCTGCTGCTTGGTTGACGGGCGGGTCGGGTCGTACCTAGGCAAGAATAAAAAACAAGGGGAAAAGGTTTTCGTTGGAAGAACATTGGAAGGAAGGTTTGAAGCATCACAAGAAGAATAATATTCAGCACGAACTACACGGCTTTCCCACTCAAGACCTGTAGTGTAGAATAAATGGAGGGTCTGAGGGATCTTATACCATGGCTGAGATATTTTTTAACGCGACAAATCTAATAATTGACGAAACCTTTCGGCCCAAGGCTCAGGGGGCTGTGTGCGGGCCATTTTCAAATGCCTTACATACAACTATAATACGGCAAATTCTACCAGCAGTGCGCTGGTGGTGACTGAGCTCTTTTGCCCCAGTAGCCTACAGATTTATTCCCATGAATAGTCAGCTGGTCGAAATGAATAATCATGTGGGAACGGAAAGAAACACGTCTAGGCATGCAGAACTTGCCACAAAATGTGACATCCCAGGCCCCTTGCATATGATCCCCTAGTTACCGAAGAACTTCTCATCTTGTTGTAGCCGATTGTACATGTACCACGACCACGACCACGGCCACGGCCAGGGTGGGAGCGGGGACGAGAACCCCAGAGCATGGAAACGACCGTGGAAGAAGAAAATAGCATGGAATGGCATTGCGTAACACGATGGGTGGTTCTTGTCAACAACCCCATTCAGTGCTCGGGTACGGATGTACTGTACATACATTGTACTACTAATAAGTACCGTACCTAGGTACTCAGAGAAATACTAGTGGGTTCATGAGCAGCAACTTTGAGAATGCGGATGGGCATAGTCACTGAAGGGTTTAGAGTTGTATTTCTATTCTGGTAGTTAGGCGCCTTCTAGCTGATGATTACGGAGTTATCATGAGGGCAATTGACTTCCTTGATGAGTTCCTGCCCAGAAAATTACCAGATGGGCGCCGCTGTTCCGTCACGGCCATACGCAAACAACGATACGACGCTCTGTCCCATCATTGTTGCTGTTCGCCAACCCAACCTGCTTCCAACCTGCCAGCCAGCGTCGTCTTCGGCTTCTTCTCTCCACCATCTTCACCTACTCATCCCAAGTCCACGTCCCCATCCGCATCCGCATCCGCATCCACGCCCACCGCTCACGCCAATATTCCTCTTTCCGGAATATCTGACAAGTTCTATTCTACACGGAGCCTTTATGCGAGTTGCGAAGATCATCTCCCTCGTGCTCCAGCCATCGTCGATTTCCATTGTCAACCCCGTAAAGTCAGTCAAACTCTTCCCCCCATTCTCGCTCTCAAACAATTACAATAAGAAATGACGCCTTTGCGCCTTGATGTGCTCTCTCTCCCCGCCGATCAGCAACTGCAAGGTTGATCCCCATTAGGCCGGCATTTATCTCATGGCTCACGGCTCATACCTGGAGGCTTCCTCTCTCCCGGATATTCTGTTATTTAGCTTCTCAACTGGCTATCCCATATTTCAGCCTTCCACTGATTGGAGTGGAAAAAGCCCATCCGACTGTGCTAACTTTGTGATACCAGATCTCAACCCTGACCTCGATCATCCGGGGCAACGCAACCTTGAAAAAAAGAAGTCCTCTAAAATAAAAACAGGCAAATTGATTTGTCCTTGTACTCTTTATCTCGACCCTATTCACAGATCCATATAGATTTTCTAGGGTCCGCGTAAGAACCCTTCCTATTATATTAACAAGGGTTTTCCCGACTGACCTCACTCCTCTCCTCTAGAGACTCCTCGTTTCCTCATGGCTCGACAACAGTCTCTTGATTCTCAAAGGCCAATAATGGCTCCTTCTGTATGGTTTTTCCAATTCTCTCTTTTCCGTAATACCCACTCCCTCAGACCTTTTAAAATCTCCTTCTTCTCCGCTACCTCGACGTCGCGCGATTTAAAGCTCTCCCAGAGCAAGAATAGCAATACTGAGTTGTCACCCAACGCCCCGCGGCGAAAGCAGGTCTCCTCACAGCGAAACTCTCAACGTTTCTCCACAATCAGCGCGACAGGTTCCCTCGCCCTATCTGACCACACCGTCTCGAGCACAATGACTGGCGATAGCCGTCTGGCCGAAATTAAAGAACTAGGTGCCGGCCTAGAACGCCTTGAGAACAAACCTCTCACCAAACAGCGATTCGTACCAACCCCGGAGAAAACAGATAACCTCAACAAACTCGCATTGGGTGCGAAGGTCGAGCGTGCGCTAGGGCGGAGAATGTCCAGTCAGGACGCTATTATGCGCAAGCGCACTCCGATAGATGAAGAAAAGGAGGCCCTCAAGATGCAGGCAGGATCATGAAAAGCAAAGACGAGGAACTATGGCCTTGTTTTTTTCTTTCTTTTTCTATGAATTTGCGTTTCTCTGTCGCTACAAGATACAAAGCCCTCGATTAAAGCAACCGCTCCACGCTTGGCTATACGTAAAATGATGGGAAGACCGGATCGTCTTTGTGTCTGTTTAGTTTCTTTTTGTCGCTGTTATATCTACTTTATACCTCTATCGCTTGCCATTGAAATTACTACCGTTTCCCTCTGCCCAGGCCCAGGCCTAGACCGATTCCCATATTTCTTTCCCCTATATTCCCCTTATGCTTTATTCTCTATATTACTCTCCTCTATTCCATTCCGTCTGAGAGTATCGCTGCCGTTTCTCACTTAATTTTTGTCTTCCTTAAAAACTTTGGCGTTCCGCAATCGCATCTGATGTGGCTTGTTTTCTTCCTCTTACTTCCCCCCCCCTTTTTTTTTGTACATACGAGTTTCTGGGATGTTTCTGTGCTTCTCTTTTTTCTTTTTTCTTTTTTCTCACTCCCTTTCCTTGTGTGTGAGAGAGAGAGAAATGAAAAGATTTCACAAATATCATGATATAGATGCCCTCATGTCTATTTTAGCCTTGCTTGTTTGATTTATTATTATTATTTATTACTTTTACTTCATCTCAGTTTTAGTGTAGTTGGTTATTGTTTGAGATACAAAATACAAAATATCTCATATAACTAGACTGACCGTGTGACCGTGTCTGAGACCAGGACCAGAATATTTGATGATCTTATTACCAATTTGATTGATTTCATTACACAGTTTTAAGATTAGATAGTAGTCTTATACTGTCTCAGTGAGACTTACTGTCTACTCTTGTCACATTTTTCAAATGAGATCATGATATTCACTTCTCAATTTAAATTCATTTTATTATTTTAAATGACTTTAAATCTTATTTAAGTGTTGTCAAAAATCATTACTTTTTAAAAAATTAAAAATAGTTTAAAAAAAATCTTAAAATGTTTAAAATAGTAACTTTATACTAAGAATGAGATTAAATAAGATTAAATGAGATCACTTTCTTATTTTTTCTAAGTCATGATTTTATTTTAAGATCTGATAAATAGTTACTTTACATGTTTTTTTAATAATTACTCTCAGTAGAATTTACATTAAAAAATGTCTGAAATTAGATTAAATGAAATTAAATGTAAAATTTATAATCTTAGCAGTCAGTCTATATATAATAATATAATAATTAACTAGAGATTAAAATTAACTCTCTGCTTATTAACTACTATCTCTCAGAGTCTTTCTTAAGAATTATATAAAGTTATCTTTAAGTAAGATCTGTATTAGACTGACTGTATAACTATGTCTGAGATTAGAATTAAACTTTATAGTTATTATATTATTTAAAAGTATTACTTCTAAGTATAATTTATATTTATTACACTAATTTTAAATTATATTATTTTAAATATTAAAGATTTCAGATTCTCTTTTTAAATAAAAATCTAATCTTAAATAAAGAATATATTTAAATTCTTAGTTATATTTTTATTCTAATCTCATTATTTCTCACTTATATAATATTATAATATAGTACTTATTTATTAAAAATTTAATAGAGAGTATTATTAAATATTATTACTTTTCTGAATATAAATTATAATTTATATAATTTTAATTATAAAAAAAATATAAAATATAAAAAAAAAAAAACAAAAAAATAAAAAATAAAATAAAAACAAGAAAAAATCACAATGAAAAAAAAAAGAAAAAGAAAAAAAATAAAAGAAAAAGAAAAAAATAAAAAATAAAATTAAGATTACAGAGCTATAGTATCTCTAAAATACTTACTTTTTAAAGTTATTATAATATTTATTATTAACTGTATATCTCTTATAGTGAGAATAACACAGCTGTAATAACTTATTATCTTAATATTATCTAATAAATAATTAGTATATATTTGTATAAATGTGAATAATTAGAAAATATATATTTAAAAAGTATAATCAGAGTAAACTCTGCTATTACTTAAATAATATCAAGAATAAAATATTAAAATCAATGATTTCTCTTATTAATTTCATAGATAAAATATATGAAGATAATCTTAAAAAATATAAAATTTCTTAACTTCTGATAAAAACAGATCTTATAAAGAGACTCTATTTTCATAATATTAAAGACTAAGTATTATTAAAAAGTATTACTTTTATATAATATATATATACTTATTACAGTGATTTACTCTCTATATATATAACTAGACTGATTATATGACCGTGTCTGAGACCAGAATTAAACTTTATAGTTATTATATTATCTAAAAGTATTACTTCTGATTATAATTTGTATTTATTACATTAATCTCAAATCATATTATTTCAAATATTAAAGATCTCAGATTTACTTTTTAAATAAAAATCTAGTTCTGAATAAAGAATATATTTAAATTCTTAGTTACATTTTCATTCTGATTTCATTATTGAGAATGATATTAAATAAGATTATAAAATTACTTCTCACTTACATAATATTATAACATAGTACTTATTTGTTAAAAATTTAATAAAGAGTATTATTAAATATCATTACTTTTCTGAACAT